CCTCAGCCTTCCAAGTAGCCGGAATTATAGGCATGCGCTACCACGCCTGGCTAATTTTTCAATTTATTGTAGAGATGAGGTCTCACTGCCCAGGCGGGTCTGGAACCCGTGGGCTCAAGCAATCCACTCACCTCAGCCTCCCAAAGGCGCAGGATTACAGGCTGAGCCACTGAGCCCAGCGGTTTTTTTTTTTTTAGTCGGAGTATCTTCTGTTACCCAGGCTGGAGTACAGTGTCACACTCACAGCCGCCGCAGCCTCAACCTGCTGGGCTCAGGCGATCCTTCTGCCTCAGCCTTCCAAGTAGCTGGAACTACAGACATGCACTACCGTGCCCGGCTTATTTTTTGATTTATTGTAGAGACGAGGTCTCACTAAGTTGCCCAGGCTCGTCTCTCAGGCTTGAGCCACCGTGCACAGCTTCCTATGTATTCTTTAGGGCTCACCTCAAACACTAGCTTCTGCCGTCTCGCCACTCCTTCAGCCCGTCACCACTTGGTGCATTGTAATCCTTTCTCTCCCCTTCTTCTATTGTCAGTTATTTATAGTGAACATGGGAAAAAGCACCAGGCAGCACATCACTCTACTTTATGGGAAGGGACTATGTCTTGTTTATTGTCATATGTGGTCTGACAATTAAGTTCCTGAACTTGCCACCATGGGTTTACATTGGCAGCACTGTACAAACAACTCGGTAAGGCTTCATAACCTTGGTATATCAGTGTCTCACAGCTGTATTTATGTCGACATGTGGCAGTATCTTGTTGAATGGTGTTCATTATTGTTGCATGTTTTTGTTTGCTGTTATAAGAATGTTGGAACTTGAATTAGAGCAATGAACAAACATTAAATTTCTTTTTAAATTTGGCAAGAGTGGAAGTGAAATGAGGGACATGTTAGTCCAAGTTTATGGGGATAATGCCATGAAGAAAATGGCAGTGTATAGATAGAGTAAATGTTTTGCTGAGGGGAAAGAAAGTGTCTCTGATGAAGAGAGGTCAGGATGGCCAGTAATGAGCAGAACTGACAAAAAATTGCAAAAATGTGTTAAATTGTGCATCAAAATCATTAACTCACTGTGGGAAGCATAGCAGACCAAATAAACACCGACAGAGAAACAGGAAAAATCTTAACTGAAAATCTTGGCATGAGAAAGGTGTGTGCAAAAATGGTCCCAAAGGAGTCTTGCATCATGACAATGCACCAGCTCACACAGCACTGTCTGTGAGGGAGTTTTTAGCCAATAAACAAATAACTAAGCCAGGCTCGGTGGCTCAGCCTGTAATCCCGCGCGTTGGGAGGCTGAGGTGAGTGGATTGCCTGAGCCCTCTGGTTCGAGACCCACCTGGGCAACTTGGTGAGACCTCATCTCTACAATAAATCAAAAAAATTAGCCAGGCGTGGTAGCGCGCACCTGTAGTTCCAGCTACTTGGAAGGCTGAGGCGGAAGGATCACCAGAGCCCAGCAGGTCGAGGCTGCGGTGGCCGGGAGCATGCCTCTGTACTCCAGTCTGGGCGACAGAGTGAAACTCCAACTCAAAAACAAACAAACCAGCAAACAAATAACTGTATAGGAACACCCTCCCTACTCACCCAGTCTGGTCTCAATGACTTTTTCCTTTGCCCGAAGATAAAGGAAATATTAAAACGAAGACATTTTGATGACATTCAGGATATCAAGGGTAATACAACAACAGCTCTGATGGTCACTCCAGAAAAAGAGTTCCCAAATTGCTTTGACGGGTGGAGTAGGCACTGGTATCAATGCATAACTTCCCAAGGGGAGTACTTCGAAGGTGACCATAGTGATAATCAGCAATGAGGTGTGTAGCATTTTTTTCTAGGATGAGTTTGCAAACTTAATTATCAGACTTTGTATTTCCCCATTCCTATTTGTTTTACAATTTGTTGCTAAAGATTTTTTAACTACAGACCAAAAGGCCAGGGATATCAGGAAAGAAAGGCTATCTAGGACAATAGCTATAGGGTGATCTTGAGGAGCCCAGTTAATTCCTTCAGGTCGCTTAAGTGTTTATTAAACCACACTGAATTCAAGACTAGGTAAATGTAGAGTGGGCAGAGGGGAACCCAGAGTGGAACAACAGGCTCCTGGGACACAGACCAATGATCTCTAAGGAAACCCTTCAACCCTCTGAAGACAAAAATTCCTAAGAGTCTTTTGTTGGAGCTCAGAAACCAATAGCTCAGAATAAAGGCCTCAGAATCAGCCCTCAGAAGCAAATGTTTTTCTGGCCTTCTGCTCTCCTGTCCCTAAGTCCCATTATCCTTTGAGGCTAGCCAAAGAAACTAGAATTCCTCTTCCCCAAGTCGAGTTATGGAAACCAGACTTCTTTCTCCTCAAAGACAGTCATAAAACCTAAAAATGTTACTCTAATTTTCCCTCACCTTTCTGTATAAAAACTGGCCATAAAGAAATAGGCTGCCGGGCGCAGTGGCTCACACCTGTAATCCCAGCACTTTGGGAGGTGTAGGCGAGAGGATTGCCTGAGCCCGGGAGTTCGAGACCAGCCAGGGCAACTTGGTGAGACCTTGTCTCTACAATAAATCACAAAAACTAGCCGGGCATAGTGGCGTGCGTCTGTAGTTCCAGCAACTTGGAAAGCTGAGGCAGAAGGATTGCCGAAGTCCAATAGGTTGATGGTGCAGTGGCCTTGAGCGTGCCACTGCACTCTAGCCTGGGTGACAAGAGTGAGACTCCAACTCAAAAAAATAAAAAACAAATACATAAATTTGTATGTCTTTTGCCCAATTAATCTGTCTCATGTCAGTGATTTTCAAATCTCCTTGGCCCCTACACCTTCATGTTACAAACAAATCATTTATTATATTTATTGAGTACCTTGTGTCTACTAGGCACTGAAAATGGGTTCAGGAGGGAAAGAGGCAGGTATGGTTCATAACCTCAGGAAACTTCTAGAATATCTATTGGTGTTGTGATTATTTAAACAAATATTTAAACAAATTATCACATTTACATGTATAACTTCAATGATAAAGTAAATTGTACAGTTGCTGGGGAAACCTCTAACAGAGGACTTAACCAAGTCTGGGAGGAATGCCCTGATGAACCTGCAGAATTTAGTTGGGTGAAGAGCAGAGGTGGTGAGAAGCAGTTTTGGCAGAAGAAAACCCAAGTGCAAAGGAGAGAAGGGAGAGCATATGGAGTGAGGCACTTCCTGAGGCTGGCCCAGAAAGGAGGGGAGATACAGCAAAGCCAGTGATAGGCTTTGCTGCAAATCCTCAGACAGCTCCTTATTCTGGCCGTGTCATCTAGAATCTTAGGTTTGAAAGCAGTTTTGGAAGCACTGTCATCACATTTCCATTCAAGGCACCTAAGTATTGCCATTTAAAGAAGGCAATGCTAATCTATTAAAGAACACTGGAGTCAAGACAGTATTGTTTAAAGCTGAATATCCAGCATCCAACACATTATCTGGTACATAGTTCCATTATTTAAATCACTGGTAAATTCAAGAAACACTTGTACTTAAAAAATATATTTTGAGGTCTGGAGCGGTGGCTTACACCTTTAATCTCAGCACTTTGGGAGGCCAAAGCGGAAGGATTACTTGAACCTGGGAGTTCGAGACCAGCCAGGGCAACATAGTGAGAATGAGACCTGGTCTCTATAGCAATAAGAAAATTAGCCAGGTGTGGTGGACAACTGTAGTCCCAGCTACTCCAGAGGTGGAGGCAGAAGGATCACCTGAGCCTAAGAGGTCGAAGCTGTGGTGAACTGTGATCATGCCACTGCACTACAGCCTGGGTGACACAGCGAAACCCTGACTCAAAAAATATATATATATATTTTAAGCCCGGACACAGTGGCTCACATCTGTCATTCCAGCACTTTGGAAGTCTGAGGTGGGAGGGCTGCTTGAGCCCAGGAGTTCGAGAACAGCCTAGGCAGCATAACCTTGTTTCTACAAGAAATTTTGAAAAATTACCGGGCATGGTGGCTTATGCCAGTAGTCCCAGTTACTCGGAAGGCTGAGGTGGAAGGATCGCCTGAGCCCAGGAGGTCGAGGCTGCAGTGAACCGTGATCGTGCCACTGCCCTCCAGCCTGGGCGACAGAGTGAGATCCCAACTCAAAAAATATATGTATTAAAACAAACAAACAAAACAGAAGCCCAGGATAATTTTCCCAAGCAAGGGACCAGTGCTCCCTTCCCTTCTGGTCTCGCGAGTCCCTAAAACCCCTTTGGACGAGCAGCTGTGAGATGGCCAGGCGGCGGGCTGGATAGGGTGCGGATAGGCTAGCTCAGTCGGGAAATTGACGATGGGACCGCGAGGAGGCGGAACTGAGGGCGCACGGTGATGCGCCTCTGCGGACTGTCGCTAGGGAGGCACTCGCCGGCCCGGAAGGAGCTGATGCGAACGGGGGCCACGGCAGCCATCGCTCTTTGCAGTTGGGTCTCCGGGTGTCACACGGACGCCAAGCAGGGGATTGCGTTCTCTCCAGTCTCAGGTGAGTGGCAGTTCTTCCTTCCGGGAGGACCGGCGGGCGGCAGCTGTGGATCCTGAGGAAGGGGTACTTTTAGGGCCTCGGCCCCCTCAGGACCCCTGCCTTTGGCCCTGCGAGGAAGGGGCGCCTGTTTTTCGCTCTGGAATGAGGCGGCGCGAGGCTTGACCGCCCCATCAGTGCTCCGCGGGGCCGCTCTGATAGCCCTCGGGGCCGGACACTGCTGCTGTCAGATGCTTGGTCATTTCAGGAAAGAACGAGATGACTGCAGGCAAGCCCCGTACTTCCCCTGGGCCTCAGTTTTCTTACCTGGTTAAGTGAAGGCGAAGATCATTGACAGTCGAAGAGGCTGCGACACGGCGTAGTGTTTTCAGCCCTCTCAATTAGGTGGAGGCAAACTGACCTTCCTTAGTAGTAGTGGTTATCGTTTTGCCATAGCCCAAATCCCAGTTGATGGGAAAATGATACACTATTGGAAAAACTATAATGCTGTACAAAGTGGTCGAGATTTTCCAAGATAGAAATTTGTTTTAAAACAGGTAAACGATGACATTGTCGAGAATGTGTTTCTCCAAAAAAATTACCTGGACGTGGACGCGGTGGCTCGTGCCTGTAGTCCCAGCTACTGGGGAGACTGAGGAGGTTGTGGCTGCGGTGAGCCATGATCGTGCCACTGCACTCCAGCCTGGATAACAGGGTGAGACCGCGACTTAAAAAAAAGAAAAAAGGCCAGGCTCGGTGGCTCACGCCTATAATTCCAGCACTTTGGGAAGCCGAAGTGGAGGATGGTCTGAGGTTTGAGACCAGCCTGGGCAACTTGGTGAGACCTCGTCTATACAATAAATTAAAAAATTAGCCGGGCGTGGTGGTGGCGCATGCCCGTAGTTCCAGCTACTTGGAAAGCTGAGGCAGAAGGATCACCTAAGCCCAGCAGGTCAAGGCTGAGGTGGCCGTGAGCGGGCCACTGCACTCTTGCCTGGGCGACAGAGTGAGATTCCAACTCAAAAAAAAAAAAAAAGGAAAAAGGAAACAAATTATATATATATTTATTGGGGCGCGGGGGGGGGGAACCAGGAGTTTGAGACCAGCCTAGGCAACATAAGAAGACCCCATCACTACTACAAAAAAAGTTAATGTTGAAATTAATCTGCAAATTGTTATTTAAAATATTATGCTTTCAATTAATTTAGCCTGAATGAATTTGAGTTAATACCATGTTATGGCTGTGTAGTATTCAAAGTATTTTCATGTACATTATCATATTTAATTATCCTTAGGACTCTGTGAGGCAGGCAGTATTTTTGTTGTACACAAGAAATGGGGGCTCAGAAATATTGACTTTCCTAGAATGAAACAATAGTATGTCAAAAAGTTCTTTTTTTTTTGAGTTGGAGTCTCACTCTGTTGCCCAGGCTAAAGTACAGTGGCGGAGCCCCAGCCTCAACCTGCTGGGCTCAGGCGATCCTTGCACCTCAATCTTCCATGTAGCTGGAACTACAGGTGCCGGACACCACACCAGACTAATTTTCTGATTTATTGTAGAAATCAGTTCTTGCCAAGTTACCCAGGTTGGTCACAAACTCCTGGGCTCAGGCAATCCTCTTGTCTCCACCTCCTAAAGTGCTGTGATTACAGGTGTGAGCCCACCATGCCCAGCCCAAAAGGTATATTTTAAATCCAGATTTTTTTATTCTAGAACAGATACTACATCAGTTTCACTATAACACCTCCATGTTTTGTCCTAAATCAGATTTATTTATTACATTGATTCTGTAGCCATACTCTGATGTCATATTTATCCCTGTAAACTATTATGTCTCTTATTTTCTCCCAGCAACACTTTGTGGATATTTGTATCTTGTCATCTTATAGGTTGTTTTTTTTTTTTTTTATGGAATCCCTAAGAATGAATGTGCTTTTGTTTGTTTGTTTGTTTGTTTGTTTTGAGACAGGATCTTACTCTGTCACCCAGACTGGAATGCAGTAGCATGATTATGGCAGTCTCAAACTCCTAGACTCAAGCAATCCTCTGGCCTCAGCCTGAGAGGCTGGCCTCAAACTCTTGGACTCAAGTGATCCACCCATCTCAGTCTCCCAAAGTGCTGAGATTATGGGCATGAGCCACTAAGCCTGGATGTATATATATTTTTTACGTAAATGGTTCTGGTTAATTACATAAATCAGTTTTAAATATTTAATGTCCATGTAAGTTTTTAAAATTTGCTTTTAATTTTTTTATAATAGCTTTTTGGAGATATATTGACATAACATAAAATTTATCCTTTTACAATATACAATTCATTGTTTTTAATATAGTCACAACGTTGTATAACCATTGCCACTATCTAATTCCAGAACATTTGATCATCCCAAAAAGAAACCCAGTACCCATTAGCAGTCACTCCCCATTTTCCCTTCCCCCAGTCTGACAACCACTAAAGTACTTACTCTAAGGATTTACCTATTCTGGACATTTCATATAAATGAGTCATCCATATAAGTTTAATTGGACAAGACTTTAAGAAGTTATTTGCAATCTGAGAAGTTCTGTTCCATTACATCCTTTGCACTGATTTTCATGTTACTTGAGTAGATCACTTTTCTGATCCGCACAGGGACTTTTTCTGTCTGGTGTTCATGCAATAAATAAATCTGCTGACGTGTGTGTGCTTCCTTGTTCTTGACCTTTGCTCTTCACATGTCCTAATGATGTGTTCATGGTGTTGTATAACCTGTTCTCAGGGCTCAGGTATCTGTTTGTAGCTAAGTAATTTTTATTCTTAGTTGGGCATTTTTACTTCTACTTAAAACAAAACAAAAAAATTTGTTAATTCTGTTTCTAATGACTGCTAGCTTGTTTTAAGACTCCTAGAAGCCACGACTTTAAAGAAATATAAATCTTATTATCTTCTAAAGCAGAGTTTCTCCATGTGTATTATTATATTCTCTTGGAACAAATTTTACAACAGCAAATTTGTACCATCCTCATGCAAAAAAAGCCTTTTTTTTTTTTCAAGGCATAGCCAATCACACTCTCCACCATTCCTTAGTTTTCATATAACCACAGTCATTTTCAGTGAGGACTTTGTCTTGCTATCTGTAGCATTGCCCTCTGCTCTTTGTGATTACACTGCCTATCAGTGTGGACGGTGTACCTTCTAGCCTGACTTCAGGTATCTTTCACCTCTATTTCATCTATCCTAGTCAGAGTCAGATCTTGGACTTGCTGCCACCCAAACCTGAACTTATCTCATTCAAGATAAGTTTTTTTTTTTTTTGAGTCGGAGTCTCACTGTCGCTCAGGCTGGAGTGCAGTGGCACACTCACAGGCACCCCTGCATCGACCTACTGGGTCAGGCGATCCTTCCACCTCAGCCTTCCAAGCATCCGGAACTACAGGCACGTGCTACCACACCCAGCAAATTTTTTGATTTATTGTAGAGATGAGTTCTCGCCAAGTTGCCTAGGCGGGTCTCAAACCCCCAGGGTCAGGCAATCCTCTCACCTCAGCCTCCCAAAGTGCTGGCATTACAGGCATGAGCCACTGCACCTGGCCTAATTTTTTGATTTATTGTAGAGACGAGGTCTTGCCATGTTGCTCAGGGTGGTCTTGAGCCCCTGAGCTAAAGCAGTCCTCTCCCTTCCTTCTCCCAAAGTGCTAGGATTATAGGCTTGAGCCACTATGCCTGGCTTTTCTTTTTTTTTTTTTTTGAGTTGGAGTCTCACTCCTTCGCCCAGGCTGGAGTGCAGTGGCACACTCACAGCCATCCCAGCACTCACCTGCTGGGCTCCGGCGATCCTTCCGCCTCAGCTTTCCAAGTAGCCAGAACTGCAGGCATGTACTACCACTCCCGGGTGTTTTATTGTAGAGATGAGATCTCACCAAGTTGCCTGGCTGATCCCGAACCCAAGGGCTCAGGCAATCCATTCGCCTCAGCCTCCCAAAGTGCTGGAATTACAGGATGAGCCACTGAGCCTGACCCGTCTTTTTTTCTTTCTTCTTTTTTTTTGAGTTGGAGTCTCACTCTGTCACTCAGACTAGAGTGCAGTGGCTGCTCCTGGCCACCGCAGTCTCGACCTGCTGGGCTCCTTCCACCTCAGCTTTCCAAGTAGCTGGAACTACAGGCGTGCGCTACCATGACCGGCTGATTTTTGATTTATTGTAGAGATGAGGTCTCACCAAGTTGCCCAGGCGGGTCTTGAACCCGCTGGCTCAGGCAATCCACTCACCTTGGCCTCCCAAAGTGCTGGGATTACAGGTTGAGCCACCGAACCCGGCCCTTTCTTCTTTTTTTAAAAATTAGGGTCTCACTGTCACCCAGGCTGGGGTGCAGTGGTATGATCACCAATCTTGACAGGCTTGACCTCCTGAGTGTAGGTTGGCCTTCCGCCTCAGCTTTTTGAGTAGCTGGGACTACAGGTGCACACAACCATGCCTGGCTATTTTTTTTCTTTTTTTAGAGATGAAGTCTTGCTATGTTGCCTAGGCTGAACTGGAATTCCTGGGCTCAAGCTATTCTCGCACCTCAGCCTCCCGAAGTGTGGGGATTACAGGCATCAGCCACTGCACCCAGTCAGTAGTACTCTCAAAATTCTGTTTCTCTTGCCCTTTTTCATCCCTGTCCTGGAAATCCCTAATCTCCTGTCATTTCATGTTTTTTGAAACTGAATATTGCTGGTGAGGGGGTGGGAGGTTGGAAATCAGTGCAAATTGGCACTGTTGTGAATGTTTACTTTTCAATTTCAACTGAGTCCTTGGCTCACTCACTCTCTTATTTTTTTTTTTTTTTATGCCAAATCTTTTTCTAGGAGCTCGGCTTTCTTTAGCAATCTTTTAACTTGATCGGTTCTCCACAGTACCTATTCTAATGCTTGCTCTGCTCCTCAAATACCCCTTCTTCTCTATACCCCTTCTTCACTGTGGAGTCAAGTTCCTGCCACCTCTACAAATTTTCTGGCCCTCCTTCCTTCATATATATATATAATTTTTTTTTTTTTGAGTCGGC